ACCTCCAAAAGGGTTGAATCCGGGCCTGAGAACGATAAAAACCATAGGAAAACGCTTTGGAGGGTCTGACCCCCAAACCTCAGGGTCCCAGGGTTATTAAAAAACGGGCTGAGTATCATCTTTGCCTCAGGGAGTTAAGATGTTAAGAGCCTTTCCGGCCGGCGGATCTGACAGTTCCAGAGCGATCCAACACGATGCGGATCAGTGGCGTGGCGTGGCGATCCGCACCGATCGAAAAGAAGATCGTGGCGTGGCGCAACCCCCAAACAGTGACACAGTGAACAGTCCCACTAAGAATACGAAGATCTAAGACATTCTAAGACGAGTCTAACTAAGTCACGCCTGCAAACTACATCTTAAGGTCCGCAAGATCCAACACGCAAAGATCTCAGGAATCAACGCGCACAATATATCACGGAAACACATGGAAACACCCTTGATGTTTGATGAAATATATTTCCTCTCTCCGCTAAGTGGAGTGGTTGGATGATGGTTAGGTTGCAGGGCCTTTCTCTAAAAATTGTGATATTACAATTCAATTGTTTACCGGGTATACCGACTGTTGCAACTAAATAGGACTCCCCCAATCCATCTGCCCATCTGCCATCTGCCCATCTGCCCGACGTTCCTCGCCATCCGGCAGCGGCGGGACGCGGCTTCCGCAGCGGAAGTCTCCACGCCAGCGGCGGTACCTCCCGCGGTCGTCGAGAGGACGAGCCGTAGAATGACAAAGACCGGGAGGTGAAAACGGTGTGTCGAACGGTGTGGAGGCGAGGTTTAACCACCTCGCTTCAATCCACCCTCCCAGGCTTTCAAACGTTGGATCAGAAAGGCGATCAGAAAAGCTTGAAAAACAACAGGTTTTAGAGACTGAAACCTCTGTTTTTCATGGTTTTGGATTGGCATTCGACTTTGGTTGGTCAACCATGCTATCATGGTGGGTGGTGTTAGGATGTGTGCCGGCAGTCTTCAGTGGTGTGAGTTCTTCGGATGTCGCCGCCCATTATTGCGAAGTAGAAGCGTTTTTGGCAAACATATCGTCTTGTTGGACTCAGGATGTCAACAATGCACCTGTTGAGTAAGTCCCATTCCCAGTGGATGATGATGATGGGTCGGCGACGGACAGCGATTCGGGGTCGAAGGTCGGTGTAAAAAAAAGGGTAAACGGGGGTGAACGGGGGCGATTGTATGATTGGGAGGATTGATAATTAAGAGGTTTTCTCCCCATAAAAAAAACATTTTAGGGAGTCAGTCCGGTCCAGAAAATTGCTAGTAGCAAGGAAACATTGAAAAAATGAAAGGACGTCGTTGCCTATTCACTTTCTTTTTGAGTTCTTCTGATGCTGAGGACAAAAAGGAACACAACACCAGCAGCAGCAAAGGTTCTTAATCTATAGTATTCCCGAACCATAAAGACCCTCAAAAGGTGAAGGTTTCGAGGGTCCAGACCCTCCATAGGAGGGTCCAATGATGCTTAGGATAAACCAATTCGAAAGGAATCGTGGGCGACAACCCCCCCGGGAAAATTCTACAAGTACCACGGTTTTGGAATCCTTCTGGCAGCATCACTTGACAAACATCGACATCCAACATGATGGTATCGTACTTTTTAGGTCACCTTGCAAAAGCTCTTTGCAGCCATAGATCCACAGTTTTCCTCTTCGCATGGATCAAGCACCACAACATGCGCATGTGCTGCTTGCAGTGTTTCGTGGGGGGCACGTCCCTTTGCTTTCGTTGAAGAGGATCATCTCTCTCTGCTGCTTTTCTTCGGCCTGGCGGAGGAGAGACTGCACCAGCGATTCGTTTTCAAAGGCCTTCTCCAATTGGAAGGATTCTGGACGCTACGATCGGGGCTCCTGGCCTTACTACGAACGGAACAAGAGGACGCTACTATACTAAGGGCTCGCATCGCGACTCGAACGGAGCGATCGGACGCTAAGGATTCCCCCACCAACAGAAGAAGTCCTGATTCGTTCGCATCGTTTCGGTTCGTATCCCCACCGTCGGTTTTGATCGGAGCGAGGCGATGGACCATCCGCTGAGGTGTTGAACACAGAACGGTCCAAGTAGCCTGGCGCTACATCTCCAGAATGCTGTAAGCACATTAGACCAAAGCAGAATATTGTAAGGAAGCATGGCTTGGCTTAGACCACGTCGGGCGTCTTAGTCGAGATCTTTTGACACATGGCAAGACTTGTGATTTCTGATCTCCTTATTCCCAGCATGTTCCCAAACCCACCATCTTCGCGCCCCTGGCCCAGGAGATCCGCGGGTTCTGAAAACGGCCTCCTGTCGCTTGGCCCTCTCTTCCTCGGTCCTTGAAGAGAGTGGTTTGTGCGGGTTCCGTATTCAAATCGCGGAAAAGGAAGTGCTCCTATGAGCATCCCTAAACCCTTCAAACATCTTCAAACAACATCTGCGGCAAACAGAAAGGGAACCCTAGTTGTGGCACTTCCGTTTTGACCACCAAACGTCTAGATGGGACACGCACTCTATAGCTGCTAGCCAGCGTGATGTTGATTCCAAGTGACTGGTGGTTCTTCCGACTGGTCACTTGATCCGATGGCTTTTTCAGTCACGTATGTAAAGGGCCGGCAGGTCGGTCCCCTATTGATCCTATTGACTCGAAGAAGATGCGAAAGATGACGAAGATGGTGCGGAAACCTTCGTTGTCGCAAAGCTGGTCATGTGACCCTCCAGTTCTGAGGGGTCCATTGATGAGGACAAAGACCAACATGCGTGTCCAGGTCGACGGTCTGGTCGAAGTTCTGGGGCTCCCAACTCCTCTGGATCCTCATCGATGTCGGGGAACTGGAAAGGCACCTCTGCCTGCACCGTCGGTCCAAAACCGATGAAGTCGACCGGTCCAAAACGGATGCGGAATGGAGAAATGCATGTGATCGAATGGGGAAGCCAACAACCAATACACCCTATGACATCCTATGACTGGTTTTTCCACTTGTCACATCTTGTCACCCTTTTTGGTCCACCCCGCAGCAAGTTGTTCTTTTTTTAACCCTTCCCGTATGTTTTTGTCCACCCCTATGATATGTCTATACTTTTTAAACCCCGTATGTTTCATGTCTTGCCTCCTGGAGTCTGCCTAGTTGGAGTCTGAAGTGACATCAAGTTCCATGATCTCACCATGACCAAGACTCTGAGTCTCACATACTGTCACTCAGTGGGACACATCATCGGAATCAAATGACGCTCTCCAAATGTTGCAAAAGTAAAATTGCAACAAAGGTATCAAGGAATGAAGTAAGCATGTGAGTTCAAGTCACGAAAGTAGATTCAGGCGGGAGTTTGTTGTAGCCTCCAAATGTGACAGCAGCCGAAAGTGCGAAAGAAACCAAAAGCCGGGGGCATCCACAGGGGGCTACCAAACACCGCCAGGATCTTGAACAGTCCGCCGAGCTTGCCGAGATTCAACAAGAGACTTACAGTGGAAGTTCAGGGCACGCAAATGCATATTCACCTTTTACAACCCAATTCGTGTACTTATGTGTACTTCTCGCACTTGCGTTCCCCATGTTGTGCAAACCCTAGAAAGGAAATAGCCACACAAGGGGAACAAAACAAGCAGTGCCGCTTCAATTTAAAGCTTTGGCTTTAACCAGTGCTTCATCATACTGGGGCATATCGGTGCAAATCGTTGCAGTGGTTGCAGAGGTTCAATGGCAGCGGCACCCCAAGATGTCTGTCGACAAATGGGACTCAATATAAACCACCAAACTTGGGGAATGTGATGGATTGTGGCATCTACTCTGAAACCATATGAAACCACTCAATCTAAGAGGGAACGGCTGGTAGTTTCGCGACACACTTCAGAGGACGCCCGTAAGCATGGCCGGCCCTTTACTCCTATACCATGAGAATCTCTGGTGGCAGCTGCGACAGCCCTCGCGATCTCGATAGCGGGTGAGGACTTCCACGCTCTCCTTTGTCACAGCAAGTGTTGCACCCTCCTTTTGTTCGGCCCTCTGTGAAACACCCGGAGCATCCATGGTATGGACGATTGTGGAGGTATATCTATATATGTTGGGATGCCGAATGCCTATACATCGACGTCAGGTCAACCACCCCCATGTGAGTCAATAGCTAGTAGGTTGGAGGCCATCGCTACGAACGTCCATTCGCCTCACCACCGCCATCCACCGGCTCGGGAGGCGCCGCCTGCAGGCTGCGAGGTAAGGCAGTGGTGTAATCCATGCAATGCATGTATCAGAAATTCATAGAAATCCTCCTCCAAATAGGGAAGATGTCCAACATCTTCAACTGAAACTGTACACTTTTAAATTCTATTTTTGACCAAACACACTACAGTCATTTATAGTCTGGTATCCAAATGTATATTAAACATTGTACAAACATGCATAGGTTAGAAATTCCCTAGGGATCCAAGTACCTTCTCAGAAGGTACTTGGACCCTCCAAACCTACATAACAGTGCCTCCAATCACCTTCTGAGAAAGTACTTGGATCCGTAGGGATTGTTATTATAGGCTTAGCAAAGTAGAAAGGACCGACGCAACAGCGCTTCGAAAAACTGATCTTATCAGCTAATCCTTCTGGTCCTTCTCTCCTCGATCGACGAAAGCGGTGACGCGTGGCTCACCGGTTCCCTTTGTTTGAAGAGCCTATCTACTGGAGACATATATGGGGCCAATGGGGGACGTGGTTTGGGTCTATTTCCTGAACCTTCCAGACAAAAACCGCTGCCTGAGAGGTCTCAAATCTCAGTCCCTCCGGGAGGAGTCATTTCCTGCAGCAGCCGGGCCACTTCGATGTATGACGTGTACAGCCGTGTACATCGTCTTTTCTTCCACCATTCCTCTCCTTAAGGGCAACTGTCCGACCTCGAGGCACCTCTAGGAGTGCGCTTGCGCAGCCCGCACGTTTCAATGCGTATACTGGTTTACTGAAGAACTCTGAAGAATTCTGGACTGAACGTCCGAACAATGTTCAGAACGTTGGAAGTCCATTGGGCCCACCCCCATCGACTTCGGCCCATCTGCGCCGCGCACGCCGCTGCATGGGGGCTTTCCTCTCTTAAAACTTTGAACATCTAAAGATCTAAAGGCCCAGTCCTGCCACTTTTAGGGTTTGAACTTAAAACGGTGTTAGTATGGGATAGTCCATTTTAAAATGCACTTATATAAATTACATCCACTGCAGGTGCTAGTGCTGACGCAGCTCCCGTGCCCAGTGGCCCTGCGTGGCCTGGGGATCTTTGTCCTCCCCATTGCCTGCAACCGAGAACCAAACACGCCAAAGCTGCACAAACGAAAATCAGAAACACTAAGAATGTCGTGGAGCTGATAAATGCATTGTGAGAATAATCAATAGACTGTGGAGGTGTTGGCTAGAAGCAATGGAGAAACACATAATTCTATAGCATGGGACCTGGGAAGCAAGTTGGAATAGCCAATCCAGAACAACGCGGTGAAACTTGCCAGAAGATCAAGAGGAACCTGAAAGAAAGGTGAAGATCGAGTTGTAAAAACATTTTATAACATGTTCATACATTTTCGGTTTAGCAAAAGTCAAACTCAAAAAAGTCAAAGCGATGCTTATCACCACGCACAACCACTGCGTCAGTGGTGCCTTCGCCGCCTTCAACTACAGGCGTCGCTGCCGCGTCGGTGGACGCCTCGGTCCCTGGCGCATGGCGTGGCGGTCCCCGCTGCGTCGTAGCTGGGTCACCGTTGGCAACTGAAATCAGTTGAGGACCCCAAAAATGGACTGATGTGGTCACCTGACTGGTCTGGGATGGGTTGGTGGTCAATGTTTTGGCTGTATTAGATTGTATTAGCCTCATGTTTGAGACGAACAATTACATAGAATCCATGCAACCTCCCTTCTTCGGGGTCCAGAATACAGGGTCTGGTCTGGAGGGTGTGTCATGGGTTGGAATTATGAGAAATTTAGGAAAGGATTGCAGGCACCCTATTCAATACTCCCCCAACACCCCAAACATCCTCAGGCCTGTTGGAGCCTTGGTCGCTGTCTCACCTGCCGCAGCAAGCGCGCAACCAGAAACACACCCCTCAACACACCGCTGGGCGGACACCGGAGGGGATTCAGCAGACTTCTGCCCTATCTGAGTAGGAAGCTCCCAGCAGGGTATATAGCTGCGGAATAGCCATCAGAGCTGGAGTTGGGTTGACCTTGAATGCGGCAACGTTCTGGGCTTATGTGAAGTGGGTTCAGTGAACCTGGTGGAGTGATAACGTAGCTATGTAATACATTTTTCTGCTGGGCTTCAGTTCATAAGCACTTCACAATCACCGTGTTACCAGTCTTGCAGCGCTTCCCGCCTACTTGTGCTCGTTCGGCCGCTCGTTCCGCCTCACCTGGTGTCTTGCTACGCCGGGCCGTGCTCCGGAAGATCGAAGGGTTCGTGCCGTGACCATCGTGGACCATCCGGAGAAGCACCGTCCATCGTGTGACCCGCAGGTGTTCCTTGGTTTCGTGAAACATCTCCTTGGTTCCTTGGTTGAAGACCTCTGAGAGCGAAAGGAAATCTGACCATAAACTTTGAGGCCGACCCGGTGAAGAGCAGAAAAGCCGACCCAATTGGACAAGTATAAAGTATATGATATCGACGACGACAGACACTCAATGTCATTGCTGAATTTCGATTGCAACACATTGCACATCAAAATCCAACAAGCCTCCCCTCGGGGAGGCGTGTGTGTGTGTGTGTGTGTGTGTACCCCTTGTAATCAACCTACGACTCGAAGACTTGATCTCGGGACCCAAGAAGTTGAAATGATATTGAAAAGTTAAGGAGTAAATGTGCCAACAAACAAGCACAGCAGAACCTGTTTTTCTCATTTTCTCCAAGAACGTCTTATGAACAGCACAAAGAAAGAAACAAACAACAGTCACTTTCTTGGACCATTTCATCCCTGACCATTTTTGACCCTTCAAACAAGTCACCCATCAAAATCCTGCAGAAAACCTTCTCCGCTGCATCCAGAATGGAAAGAATAACAATGAAAGAGGAAGATGGTCCCATGAATGGCCATGTTGTTTCTACAAACAGGTGGGTCTTCGATGGGGTTTTCCACTTCCATATTCCATATGTTCAGGGACTGTATCTCCATAGATCATCATGGATCCATCCGCTTGCCACGTCGTTTTCGCTGCCTTCTTGACGCCTCCGTTCCCGCAAGGTCAGCACCGCGCGCCTCGGGCACCGGCGGCGAATCGGAGACCGCAAGGAGCATCACATGAACAGCTTGATGAACAACCCCCTCATACGAAGAGGTGGTTCAATCCAAGTAGGGGCGGCTTATGAATAATAAGAGTCTACTTTAAGGAGATTTTCAGCCTCCAACTTATGAAGGTTAAAGAAGACATCGTGCTGCTAGGGACTCCTGCAGGGCCTATAGCAGTTGGTCAAGCAGAAAGAGCATACGCCACTTTTACAATAGTATATACATCTCATATAATATCATGCTATCACACTGTGGTTTTGGTGAAACCGTTTGCCAGGTTTAGTGCGATGTAAACTGTTCTGCACTCATTTTGGCGACTCCAGTGGATTTCGGGATTGGAGAACAGGGCATCGTTGACTCCCAACATCCTATATAAGATCCTAAGGGATTGGGATCACCTGCGACTTTCCAGACAAATGTGTTCAACATCTCCTCGGTGTTTCTTGCAATGTCTGCTACTATCCACAACCTGCCAAAAAGCCGTGCACTGTGATGTGCCGCCAGGTACCGCAGGGCCGGGAATAACAATGGGCACATAAGCAATCCCTGCAATCGTGAGGTTCATGGTGAGAAACATGGGCAGGTCTCAGTGAGCTCCCCCAGGTTCTGTTTCGAATTGTAACAAAGTACCAACCCTCTGATATTCTTTGGATGTGTATTAGTTTTCCAACCCCCCTGAAGCGTTTGTTAGGCATCTTTCGAGGGTATCTCCTTGTTCGTTCACCCGTCATCTCCGCGCGGGGCCCGCGGGGGGCCCGCGCTCGAGGCTTTCCACGCGCCGTGTGACGTTCCTGGAATCCACTCGGTGAAGGTTCTGGCACTGGTTGCCGCAGAAGCTTCGACCCTTCTGTACTAGCAAGCTGGTGAGTTTGGAAGGGGGTTTGATGAGTCCATGGTACCTAATGCAACATCAAAGCCCTTGCAACCGGCTTTCAGAACAAAAGATGCTCAGAGTGCAGGTTCCAGGTTGCCTATCCTATCCGACAGGTTCGACATCAAAGAAACATCCGAGGTTGCTATCTGAAAAA